CACTCCAAGTACCACGATCTCGCATCTTTTCATCATATATGCGTCCGCCTGTGTGACCGTCTGTGCATCCATCCACCCCTCCGTGCGTGCGTCTGTTCGTGCGTCCGCACGTCCATCCATGCGTTCGTCCGCGCATCCGCCCCTGCGTCCGTCCATGCATCCATCCATCCGTGCAGCCATCCGTGCGTCCAGTCGTCCATCTAGTCATCCGTGCGTCCGTTCGTCCATCTAGTCAACACTCCAAGTACCACCATCTCGCATCTTTTCATCACATATTCCGCATATAGAAGCATCGCCATCCAACGGACATTCCAAGGACTAAACGAGAGGTGGCACACGTACACTTTCTTACGGATTGCGCTTCGCGTCTGCTTCCCACCTTTAACCACCTCGAGTTCATGGTATATACTAGTTCACTGTATTCATGGCACTGCGACCCAACGCTCGCTAAACCTTTCTACACCCAAGGAGGTTACGCCCAGCGAGTATAACGTAGAAACCCTTTCTTGTCAGATAGTGCTCAATGTTCATGGCATGGCTGCTAATTAAAAACGAGAGACAGGAGAATTCGGCTTTTAGTTAACGCGCACGCTGCGAATGTTTTATTGTTCAACAACGCACATGACCAGCACCGCCTTGCAGGTCAAAGCGTAAAACATGTTACGCACTACTACGAGGGACGAACGGGGGCCACTCGAAGGACCTTCGCCCCTAAAAAAAAAGTTCCCTTTCACTCATTTTTGCCTCGTGCACCAAACGAGTAGAACCGATTTCAAAGTGACAATGTCAGTATTATTCATAATCACTAGTTCTGTGTTGTACTAGCTAACATTGTATTATGCTTAAGTACTTTTTACGACTTAAATGTATTCAGTGCCTTTTCTTCCCAACCAACCTCCTCCGTGATGCCATTTGGTGGTGCAGGTTTCAAGTGCAATATATAACGCATTTCAGGAAGAATAAAATATCTAACTAATGTAGGACAGGATAGAATAAATATAATACAAGAACAAATACCGCCTAACTAAATATCTAAAGTGAATAGATTTATTACACTATTCGGTCAGGACTTGGTAAAGTTCCATAGCAATGTTACATTCCATGAAAAAATATTCTATGAAAAATAAATTAAAAACAAAGAATTAGCCGGTAGTTGTGTTCTTCCTGTGTGGAGCATCAGTTGTTTATTCCTTTTATTTTATTGGCGAATTCCCAGAGGGATTTGGTGTTTATGATAGATGGGTGTAGTTTATTTTATTCCCAAATGGCAAGTGGAGAAAAGGAATGTTTGAAAGTTTTATTACTATGGGAATATGTGTTAGTGCATCGGCATGCTTTTGGCGTGTAGGTCGGGATTAGGGAAATGAAATGTACTTGGACATATTTATCTTGAAACTGTAGTTTGTTATCTGAAATAAGAATTTTAAGAAGGCTTGTTTCGCCCTTTATAGCAGAGTTTTTAGATTGGATGTGTTTAAAATGTCAGTTGGGCGAGTCTGTGTGCCTGTACCTGTTGTTGATAAATCTTATCGCTTTTATTTGCACTTCTCCCAGTTTTATTATTTTAGTGCTTGTAAGCAGCAAGCAAATCACAACGGCATATTCGAAAATAGGTCTTTTAAATGTCTTATAGGCAAGGAGCTTTATTGTGGTGGGAGCTAGTTTTAGGCTTTTTTAAAGAAAAAATAACTAGCGTAGTGCTCCAGCGGTAATGTTATTCATGTGCTGGGTATAGTTAAGGTCCGGAGTAAGTCGCACACCTAAATATTTATGTTCGTTTACTTTAGGTAGCATGGTGCCGTCTTCTGAATAATTTAATAGTGAGGGTTGTTTTTTTTTAGTTGTTCTAATCAAAGCGCATTTTTCTTACGCTTGCTGACATGTGCCATTGTTTGAACCACTCCCGTATTGTGTTTAGGGAGGCACTCAGGGCAAGGTGGTCTGTATGTATAATGATTTCATCATATATAACACAATCGTCAGAAAAAAAACTTTATGTTAAAGTCGATGTTCGTTGCCATGCTGTTAGTTTAGATTAAAGATAACAATGGTCCAAAAAGTCATTTTTGCGGTACGCCTGGCGTGACACAAGCGGTTTTTTGATGTAGCTTGTTTAAAGAATAAAAATTGCTTTCTATTCAGCAATAAATACTTAATCGATCAGGTGAATGAAGTGTTACCTAAGACGGAATAGAGTTTCGCAATTATTTTTTATGACATACACTGTCCAATGCTTTTGAAAAATCCGATAGAACGGTATCTGTGAAACAATTACGAATTAACGGAAGTGTCTGCCATTGTCCAGAATATCTTCCGTATTTTGAAAGGCGGTGTCACAGAAGACCACTCGAGCAAGTGCACAGGATCGATAGATCGCAATAGGCGCCCCTTGAAAAGATTGTCCACTTTCTCCTAGGAGCATCCTTTGGCCTTCCCAAAAAGCTGCACGAGCTGTTTCATAGTCGATCTATTGATTGAAATAACTTTTTGTATTGACATAACTTTATTGTTCATAGTCGCTTCTTTTTTTTTACACTTTTTACATATAGGCGGAAGCAAGCTTTCCCGATCTCCCAAATGCTTGATTTGGCTCATTAACAGCAAAAGCCTATCATATGATAATAAAAATGCGCTCCCTAAAGTCTCAGTCTGCTTTCCTCGAGCTCTCAAAAATACTCCTGCAGTAAAGAAAGTTCAAAATACCCCTTACCGCCGAGATGGTAAACTTCTCTAGTTGTCTCTCTTTACGTTCCCTATTTATCATTCTCTCATTGCTAATGAACTTGCAGAGCAGTCTTCAGCTTCCATTCTTAGTAGCTCGACACCCCTTTTGGTAGTGAGGATGCCGGGACCGAGCACTCGCCCCTGCCACGCAATAAATGAAACAAAAAAACAGCGGCCACACAACGCTCCCCTGAGCGTCCAGCAGTGGCCCTGTTTGTTTGGTTTATTTTTCGGCATATAATTATTCGTTACTTCCACTTCACGTTGCACGCCTGCTGGGAAATATTTTTTTAGCGCGAAATGACACACACACTCACAAACACAAAAAAGCGCGTCGGTCACCGTACCATGTAATTAATTAGTTTAATTTGTGCGTCCTCAACCTCCTCCCCACGCATCCCGTCATGGCAAACTGAGAGCTAACTGCGCAAATATTCGTGGAGCCAAGGAAGTCGCGCAAGCTTCAGTTTAATTTTGTTGAAAGGGTGATACATTGCTCGTCATGAAGTAATATGAAAAGTGCGGGCATCTTCTCGTATATTGTGCTTCGTTGCATAAAACTGTCAGCTTCCCATTCGAACCTGATACTTTAAGATATGCGGACGCACTTAATGATTTGACCAAATGTACAGTGCTGAGAATTGCTTGAATTAGGCTACACTCTTAGTTTTGTTGTTCATATTTGTATATATGAACATACCTAATCTTTAAATTTAAAAGCAATTAACCTTGTCGAAAAATTGCAATGCGTATGTTGCGGATCAGTTTTCCAAGCGTAGCTTAGGCTTGGTGCACATGTCTGAGGTGCAAAAAACGTTTCGTCAAACTCCGGGAGAGCAGGAGAGAAGACGAAACAGCGCCATTTTTCTTGGCGCTGTTGTTTGCTCTGTTGTGCTCTCCCCGTTTCACAAAATGTTTTTGGCACCTCAGACATCTGCACCAAGTAAGCACCAATTCACCCAAAAACAAGTCCTTCTGGAGTAGCTTACACATTTTCAAAGCTTTCGTCCATTGGACATTACTGTTGTCGTGCATACTGCCCATGCCCCCAAAATGCAACGAAAAATACCACGTGACATACCCACTTGCAAGCGCGTGCGCACCGGGACTGCAGTGGTTGCTAACATGACGCACAGAAACGACAATAACACTTGGGTCGTTGTGTTGCCTCGACCGGGCAGCAGCAATCGTGTTGGGTCTACGATGATGTGCACTTACCCGAATATTCAGCTACGTTACGCGAGCGGCGACTGTTTTGAGCGTCAGCACATGACGAGAGAGCCGAGAAGCGAACATGGTGAGTGTATAAGCGCATGTTCACAAAGCGCGCTCAGCTAGGCCTATCACCTACTAGGCTCTTCCGTTTTAAGGGCGTTACACCGCAACAGCATTCATCAGAAGAAAAGACCACGTAAAGTCGGGGAATAGTTGTGCTCCTGCTATGAACGATGCAGCAAGAGATCGGAAACCTGAAAATATTCGTACATTTGCCCGTTATTTTGAAAGCTTCGAATGCCAGTATTCTGCCAATTGCGATGAGTTTTAGGTTGATCGTCATTTTCTATGAAGTTTTAGCCCTTGGGAACACCCGTCTAAAACAGAGGGAGTGACTGTAGGGAACGGGGTTGGCCGATGTCGTAATCGGCTGCTCTAAGAATGCAGAAGCGCGTTTTATGAGCAGGTTCGCGATAAAGTTACGTCAGCAGTTGTCCATGGAGAGCGAAACAGTGATCTACAATGTTGATTGAAAATGACGCTGTTTGAAACCTCTGTGTGAAACGTAGTCATTATTTCTATTGAGAGGTTCCACGAAACTATCTAATGTGTCTTCCACCTGACGACACATTAGTTGAATAGCGTTATAAACCAACGAACGTCGTACTCTTTCTTCTCTCTCTTTCACACACACACAAAGTGAGAGATATATACAGATAGGCATACATACATACATACATACATACATACATACATACATACATACATACACACATACATACATACATACATACATACATACATACATACATACATACATACATACATACAGATAACAAAAATAGATAGATAGTTAGATAGATAGATGATAGATAGATAGATAGATAGATAGATAGATAGATAGATAGATAGATAGATAGATAGATAGATAGATAGATAGATAGATAGATAGATAGATAGATAGATAGATAGATAGATAGATAGATAGATAGATAGATAGATAGATAGATAGATAGATAGATAGATAGATAGATAGATCTATAGGAAAGTTGCTGCCTTACTTGTCGATGCGCCGCAGTTGCTTCGACAGCTCGCTCTGCTCATTGATGAGCTGCATTTGCTGCGTGGAGATGTGCTCCAGCTGCGACTGGAGCTGCGGCACGGCTCCTACGTTGGGCGGCAGGTCCCTCGATGCCTGCAGCCGAGCCTTGAGCTCTTCTTGCTGGCGGCCCAAGAGTCGCAGCTGCTCGCAGATGCCTTCGAGGCGTTCCTGCGATGACGCAGTCACCGTTGTCGGTGAACAAAATTACGTGATCACAGCCCTTACACCAATGCAAAGCAAGGGCAGCTGCGAGTGTTGTACAGTGAACTCTTCTTCCTTGTTCTTTTTGTTTTATTTTAACACGTAAGCGTTGTACGCCAGGTTCCAGCAAGTTTTCTGTGGCTTATTGCCGTTAGAGGTACGACGTTGATAATGTGGACGCAAAAGGACGTGAAAAAAGAGCTGTTAACGTACCGCTGCCGGGAATCGAATCTATGGTCTCTCGGCCCGCGGTTATAGGTACCCGATAATCTAACGCCTTATCTAGCGAGGTAGATGCGCAGCATTTGGAAAACTCGCCTTATATTGCTTTTACGCTCCCACGTGGTGTGGAGGGGTGCTGCCGTCTAGAGTAACGCACCATGCCACTTGTTGAAATAATTCGTGGTAAAATCTAGTAGTACTGATAGGTAACGATTGGGCGACGACGCAGTGAAATCAAGGCATTCTAGATTGCGGCCAATCTCGAACGTCATAATTGAAACCATAGAGTTTCCTCAAACCGAGACAGTGAAATCAGGGTATTCTAGATTGTGGCCAATCTGGAACGTCATAATTGAAACCATAGAGTTTCCTCAAACCAACTAGAGAAAACTCTGGCACTGTGATCGTTCAGTGACCATAGAAAATGTTGGGTAGTACATTAAGTAGCCTATTCTTGCTGCTTGCGGACTGCGAACAAACTTGTCCCTTTGTTTATTGCGGTGTTTTGGTTTTGTTTCGAACAAAAGAGCAAATCATATTTAACTGGCGTGACCCGATTTGTACTGGTGAAATTATAAACCTAAAGCGTCCCTGAAAACACTTCTTCAAGTCACCATGCAACGGATTCCCTGAAATAGCGTATGGCCTCACGAGTTCACCCCCGCGAAAAATGTAAGAATTCGTACAGTATCAGCGAGGTTACAAAAATTTGTCCCACACTGCAATCGCATACCTTCTCTCGTCCCGACAAAAGTATCACGAAAGCGCTGGAAGCTAAGCAGGGAGAGAGGGGAGGTGGCATGAGCGAATAAAATATGTCAAGCGCGCCTCCTGGTCATGAGAATTCATTTTTTTTCTTCTTCGAATACATCGTTTTTTTATTGTGATCGCGTGCGCACACGTGGGCAAGTCATGGTCTCCCACGGCGATCTCTGCAAGGACCAAGCGCGCTATGTGTGAATCAGCCAATGGCTGATAGAAGGCCTTTTACGAGTCATTTTTCAATTTTCTTCGTTATTTGTCGAAAGAATAGAAAGCAATTTTTAGCTAATTTTGATAATTTATAGTGAATTGCAGGACGCGTGCTGTGCTATATTAGTTGGCTCGCGTGTTTTTGGGAGCCTCTACTAGCAATCGGCAGCGTTTTTTTTTTACCATGCTCGAAAAGTGCTGCGGGGCCCCTTTACTGTAATCAATGCAACTGCTGAAAATATACAGATTTTTTTTTTTTTTGAGGCAAAGCAGCTTTATGGACCCGCGATGCCAGGCGAAGTGAAAAGTACGAAAACGAGGCAAGTTCGTGTACCACTCAACATTCCCATGCTCGTTGAAGCTGCATGCGTTGCAGCTCACTTAAACACTAGCGCCAGAGTTCCCTTAAGTGTATTTATAAGGATGTATATGGTTGAAACATGTCGATGCCAGCAAGCAACAGAAACGGCGCTGGCGTCGGCAAGTCGCAATCAGTGTTTCACCTTTCGTTCTGTGTAGGCGTGTGATGGCTCGTTGCCGGAATAGTGCACCTTCTCTCTCCTTCGAGTGCCATAGCACGGACGTGCTGCAAAAGCGCTGGAGAAAAGATGGCAACGGGCGAATGTCGCCCCTTCCAGCGGTACAAGAAACGCCTGCGCGCGTTCGCTGCTCAGGCTACAATCCTCCTTCGTCTCGCGTGCTCCTGAAATTCTAAAGGCAATGTTAATCTAGCGACGTTCGAGTCGCCGCCTACTATCATATTGCTCGAGTAACAGCTCAACGTGTTAAAAAATTCATCAAGTTTCCCAAGATATTTTTGGTCGTTGCCTGTAGAGGATGGTAAAATCCGCCCACTATGAACTTAAGATTATCAGTGTCTACCTTCGCAATTAAAAAAAAAATTCATGAAGCGTAAAAAGCAAAGCTTCATAGGTGCATGAGGTCTGGGGATTTCCACCTACAATAAACTTAGAATGACCCCTCTTCGCCGTAACAAGAAAATTCATTGAGCGTATCAAGAACAAGGGGGCAAGTTGAGCCAGTTGGGTTGGCTTCATTGTGACCTTGCTCTATAGCGCTAGAAACACGACCGCAAGGAAGGAGTGAAAGAAAATGCCAGACGGCGCTTGCTCTCAACAGATTTTTCTTCAACATTGAAATGTGAACCATATATATACCAAGTGTGCAAAACTATGACATGCGCAGCACACAGGATACACGCCGACAGCATCGTAATAAGTACAGATATTCAATATTTACACAAATAATCAAATTCCTTGTCATAGAGAAAAAAAAATTTGCAGATCCCACGTACACTGGAAATCAATGATGTGCGGAGCACGAATGAGAAAGGTTGATATGTCACTTTAAAATCAGCACAAAGTTACGAGGTGGAGGTAAATGATGCCGTACATGGCTTCCGTGTCATGATTATCATGTTTGGATGTGTCGTTTACCTTCGTCATCTATTCACGTCATGTTAAACCAAATTCAGCTTATGGGAGCTACAGAAATGCCCGCGAGCACGCTATAAGCGTGTTATGTTGTCATGTTCTTTTATCACCCGCGTGTCAGGACTATCATGTTTGCACCAGTCATATATTTCGCCATCCATTGACGTCACGTAACACGAAATTTGGTAAATGTGGAGCCAGCAAAACGGCCGCGAACGCATCATGAAGGGCCCAATATACTCCAATGCAGCGTCGACGCGCGCGCACGTTGAGAACAGCGAGGCTATGTTAGCAAAACGCGAGCACTCTATAGTCTGACGCCAGGCACGACTGGCGCGACCAGCGTCTGTCAACATGACCCGACGGCAACCGGCGCAAAATGCCACATGCTGCATTTCGTGCCGATGCATTACCCAGAGAACACTGCGTCTACCTCTTTTCGTGACGGAGGGATGTCGGATGCGCTGAAACGTGCATGCGTCAACAACACGTACTGCGCGGCGGCGCCTGCGAGTATATGGCACGACCAGCGCCTGACGTGGCAACACCGGCTTGACGCAACGAAATGAACGCCGGCGAGCACGCGTCCACGTCACGTCGAAATGTGTTGGCGCCTTGACTGTGGCAGGTAGTCATGTTGTTACATGACACGCATCTCATGTTATTCATGTTTGCACCAGTATCATACCTTCGTGTTCCATTCACATCCTGTAAAACCAAATCTGGTATACGTTAAGCTAGCGAAACGGCTGAGAGAGCATCATGAGCGTGGCATGTAGCCGCGTTGTTACATGACACGTATGTCATGATATTCATGCTACGGTCTGTCGCTTTTGTTCGCCATGCAATCATGTCAGACCCTACCAGTTTTGCAACATGACATGTGGACAAAACCACTGCAAGAGCTGCAGGACCATGAAATGCAAATTATGACGTTCATGACATAGATAGCATGATTTGCATGTTATAACTAGTCAAATATGTTCTTCATACAGTCATGTTATGCTATACCAAGTTGGTATCGATACCATTATCAAAACGGCGAGGAGAGCTAAAAGTCGTAAGCGGAATAGATAGATAGATAGATAGATAGATAGATAGATAGATAGATAGATAGATAGATAGATAGATAGATAGATAGATAGATAGATAGATAGATAGATAGATAGATAGATAGATAGATAGATAGATAGATAGATAGATAGATAGATAGATAGATACGCTGAATGTCACCGAAGTTCGCCAAGAAATACTTCGCATTAAAAAAAATTGGTAGATCCCACGTACAGTGAGAATCGATGATATGCGAAGCGCGAATGAGGAAGGTTGAACTGTCTCCATAAAATCAGCTCAGCCTCACGAGGAGGACGCAAATATTGCCAAACATGACTTCGCTGTTTTGATTATCATGTTTGCCCCTGGCATTTGTGTTCGTCGTTCATCACGTCACGTAATAGAAAAAGTGATATATGTGAAGATAGTCAAACAGCCACGAGCGCACTACGAGCGTAGCATGTAGTCATGTTTTACATCACCCACATAACATATTATCATGCTTTTACGTGTCACTTACCTTCGTTCGCGTCACGTGACGACCAATTCGGTATATGTGAAGCTAGCAAAATGGCCACAAGCGAACTATGAGCGTAGTCATTTAGTCATGTTTTACGTGACACGAAGGTCATTATTATTTTGCTCCAGTCACATACCTTCATCATCCATTCACGTCACGTAACACCAAACTTGGTGTATTTCAAGCCATCGAAGCGACTTCGAGCACATCATGAGCGTGGAATGTAGCAGCGTTCTTACACGACAGATATGTCATGATTATCATGTTTGCACCAGTCATGTGCCTTCGCGATCCATTCACGTCACGTAACACCAAATTTGCTATACATGAAGCTAGAGAAACGACTGCGAGCACATCATGAGCGTTGCATGCAGTGATATTCTTACGTGACACGCATGCAATGATTATCATGTTTGCACCAGTCGTATAGCATCTTCATCATTTCACGTCACGTCATACCAAATTTGGTGTTTATGAAGCTATCGAAACTACCGCTAGCGCATCATGCCCATGGCACGTAGTCACGTTCTTACATGACACACATGTCATGATTTTCACGTGAGGGGCTGGGACTTGAGATCGCCATGCACTCATTTCGTACCATACCAGTTATGCGATATGTCGCGTGAACGAAGTCACCTACAGGACTAGCAAAACCATGACATGTACATCATGACTTTCATAACATGCATGTCATATTTTGGTGTTGTAACTAGGCACTTATGCTCGTCATACCGTCATGTCACGTTATGCTATACCAATTTAGCTTTAGATCTCATTATTCACACGGCCAGGAGAGCTAAAAGTCGTAGGCGGATAGATAGATAGATAGATAGATAGATAGATAGATAGATAGATAGATAGATAGATAGATAGATAGATAGATAGATAGATAGATAGATAGATAGATAGATAGTAGATAGATAGATAGATAGATAGATAGATAGATAGATAGATAGATAGATAGATAGATAGATAGATAGATAGATAGATAGATAGATAGATAGGAGATAGATCAACTCGCCGAAGTTCACTAAAAATATTTTGCATTTAAAATGGACGCATCGCTGATTCCAGTATTGGTTGCAGCGGAGCGTACAAAGTGGTAAGAAGTAGTTGAGAGGAAGGATGCGCTAGCCTGCATAGCCTGCGTAGGCACCCTTGTATAGTTGCTTCACTGATATAGCCCTTTCTCTGCCGTATCACTGCAAGTAAGGTGGTTGTCAGCCTATCTTTAATGAAAGCGTCAACGTCTACTCAAACAGGCCGCGAAAGTTTTGTTGAAATGCGGTGAAGAAGCTATTGTCAGCGACAGCAGCAAGGGAGTTAGGGGAGCTGCGATAAAAGCGCGACTATGTGTGGAGGGCTCAAACACTAATAGCAAAAACAAAGAAAGCTTGATTCAAAGTCGACGCAATCGCTATGTTTCAGAAACTAGATTTTTTCACCGACAATATTATGTAGCTGCAATAAGGAAAGTATTTATGGCATTTTTTTATTATTACGAGAAATCTTTCTAGTACCCTCTGCGCCCGCCATTATTATTCAGTGCAGCCTTTGCACTGCATGGAAAGGCACGCTCGTAAAATCCATCTGTGATGACGCAGCCCCTAACAAGTTCTAGTGTTCCGTACTTGCTTGCGTTCTCTGCTGTGCGCGAAATCAGGAGGTGCGTTTTACCGTTCACGAACGTCTTGAGCGCAGTGTCGAACGGGCGTAGAACGATGCAGATTACATTTACCATCGAGTGCTTTCAATGGTACCTGCGGAAATGATGCTGTCTAAGGACCGAGTTGCAAAAAACCTATGCCTGGTGACTCATGTCTTCTAGATAAGAAAGAATGGCAGTTGTTCGGAATAGAGCGCTCGTTAAGCTTTCACCCATCAGTATTCCTACAGCCCGGTTCCCTTGTACAGTATGCTGCACCTACAATTATTCATGTTATCGGTGAGCAGATCGCCAATTTATCTACCGCGCTACAAGGCACATGTTTACAGTGGCATATGTAGTGGTAATTTATCCCAGCATAATGCAAAAAAAAAAAGCGATGCAAGTAGTGTCCGGAAAAACTTTCGTGCTTACTACCATTGTGTTAAGCGTTATCAACTTGAGTTATTGTAACCATTCAATGAAACTGAAATGCCACTATTTTGGCGTCGCTAAGCGTCATTTTCTTCCAATAAAATTAAAAAACCCAGGCATTGCGAATGCTAAAGAAGCTACGTATGGGTAAAGCTAGTAAGCAACGCTGCAGATATGATAGGTATACGCTATTGGTTGATTTAATACATCTATAGAAGATGCCGCGAGTCCGAATAAAAGTTAGAACAGGTCTCTTTGTAAAACTTAGGCAAAGTGAACTGGAGTAGACTTACACATCACTATTTTGTCATGAGTCGATATTAAATTAGCCGGCGTTGACTTTAAGCACAAGCATGTAATTCTTGCCGGTGATTGCCTTAGCGCATGTTTTAACGACCAGCTGCCTGTGAAACGCAATTCTAGATCAGATTTCGCGCTGGTGCACACAAAACGGCGTCAATTTTTTACCAGCAATTGCGTCACATCCGCGTCATTTTAGTTGCACCGGAAGTTTTCTCTCCTCACGGAGATGGCGGTAAGCCCCACTAGCATTGATAAGTCACCATTTTCTGAATGAAGGGGTTTTTATGAAGCCTTCGCTACCAGTTGCATCTACCTTGAACCCGCCGTAACTTTTAAACACGCGAGCCAATACTAGAAAATTGCTGAGGCTTATAACATATCGATTAAGGACAACAGCTGTGTCTGTGAAGTGTCTGTTTTTCTTCATGAGACGGAATTGGATTATTTGTGTCGATCTTGAACATATATACTCATGACGGAGCTGCCGGCATGTAGCCTGTGTCTTGCGCATGTCACGGTTTTGCACACTTGCTGTATATATGGTCCACGCTTGAATTTCAGTAGAAATTAGTTCAGAGTCAGCGCCGTTTTTTCGTTCACTTTTGCTCCTTCCCTGTGTTTGTGTTTTTAGTGCTGCGCTGTAGACTAGTTCACAATGAAGTTATCAGACCATGCTTAGTCAGTGCCTGTGGGGCGTAATAAGCACCAATTATGAATTTAAGATCACCGGTGTCTACTTTCCCAAGTAGAAAGGAATTCATTAGGCCTATCAAATAGTACTGCGTCGGTGCATGGGGCGTTGAAATCAGCTCGCTATGATCACCAGTGCCCACGTTCATGATAATACATTCCAGCCCCACCACGTTGGCTAAGGTGCTCAGCTGCTGGCCCGTTGGTCGCGGGATCGAATCCCGGCTGCGGCGGATGCATTTTCGATGTAGATGGAAATGCTGTGCGCCCGTTTGGTCAGGTTTGGGTGCACGTTAAAGAACCCCAGGTGGTCTAAATTTCCGGAGCCTTCCACTACGGCGTCTCCCAAAATCATATGGCGATTTTGGGACGTTTAACCCCACATATCAATTGATAATAAATTTATGATCTGATATATGAGCTAATCTTTCAACTTGTAAGGTTTTCTTATATATACTATCATCCATGACGATATTGAAAGAGTAGAGATACTTTAATATCCTTGTGATTCCCTTGAGCAGCTTTATTTCGTCAACGGTGGATCAAATAATAAATCCTGTAGTACATAAGAGTCACCACATTTTTTTAAAATGCAATACTGACGTCATGCCCAATTGTTATGCAAGTGGTCTGGTCTTCGAAGTGAAAAAAGCTCCGCCATTTCGTCAGGTATATTCTCGTTCCCGGAAACTGTCGTAAATGAACCACAAGTAGTAGAAGTTGCCGCAGCCCTTCACAACGACGTCTCTCACAATCAGATCACAATAATCTCCCACAATCCATTAGAAAGGCAAATTCGTGCCCTTCGATTCGCACAGAACAACGCAACAATGCATCAATGTCTCCATGCGCTCTGATGAAGTTTATCCCAGCTGGTCAAGAAGCGCTCCTGAAGCGCGTTGTGTTGCGAGATCCACGAACGTCAAAAAGGCAATGCAGAGTAACTTTGTGCTTGGCCAGCTCAGATACATTCAACAACGACGATAATAAAGCTATGCAAACATCCGGGAATAACAAAACAGTGCGCTAGCTTCGTAACAACAAACGCTGCAGGTTGAAAACTGAAAAATTCGGCAGATCCCACGTACCTGTGAATCAACTTAATGCGAAGCACGCGGAGGGAAGGTGACCGTGTTGCATTTTTTTAATTACACGTCATAAAATGACGCTAAATATATGTACAAATGTTGCACGCAGAGACATATGTTGAAGAGTTGCAGATATTTATATAACAGTTTTTTATTTGCTTAACGATGTCAGCTGGATTGTGCTTTTGCAACCCCCCAGAAGCTGATATGAAACGCTGATGCTCGCGAAGATATTGGCCTTCGACACTGCTACTTAAATCAATTTCAGCGCATGGCACCTCACCACAATTCACGTTAACCCGACGTGACGGCTGTATGAAAGAAGTACATATGTAATGATTATAAAATTGCGTAGGCAGCACTTCAACCATTATCGACGTTTCACGAAGATTAGCGTCGATTTGAAAAGTAGTTCCGAGACTTGGCGTAGCTCTTTGGTAGAACGCTTGACTGCCACGCAGAATGCTTGGGTTCGATTCCTGCCGGGACCCTGAAGTTTATTATTACCATTCGTTGGGTGGCAACGCTGCCTATGTCATGTTTACCTTAACACTGACATTTATTCTATGCCTTCGTTAAGTCGAGCTACTGATGTCGAGTATTGCTTTAACGCTCACGCGGTAAAATTGCCCATGTGTGTTATCGTCGTTCCTGGGTAAATACTAAGTGTCAGTAACCTGTGGCACATACCGCTTACCAGTGGCACATACCCGCCCAAGAGTATGTGCCACTGTCTGACGGGAAGTGTTTGACTACGTACGTGACAAGATTGTGACATTATTCATCTCTTGACCAGCGCGTCATATTCGTCAAACCATCTTACCCTCCCTTGCTATATTGGTTGACGTCATGTTAAGGGGGTGACCACGAGAGCACCCAAACAAACGTAAGCGGCTAGATAGATAGATAGATAGATAGATAGATAGATAGATAGATAGATAGATACGCTCAATGTCGCCGAAGTTCGCTAAGAGACGCTTCGCATTTAAAAAATCGAAAGCCTGCGTTCTTTATTTAGGGCATCGTTTATACTATAGAGCACACTATAGTATAGAGATGACAGCGCTTGCCTGTCTCTTCTTCTTCTCCTCTTCCATGTGTGCTTTCTCCATGGGCTGCTCGAGACGGGCCCGCTTGCTCGCTGCTGGCTCGTCCTCGAACTTTGGCCCGTAGCACTGGCTCCTGCAAGGGTCGTCCGCACTGCCTTGCCTGGTTAACGCCGTTTCTCACAGACACTGACAGCACAAATTACCACTTATAGCACGGCTTGTGTTACAATTGCAGGTTACCATTTAACGGAGCTACATTCGCGTGCCAATATTTGGCACTTTATTTCGCCGCTCGAGATGGCAGAAATTGTATAAAATAAAACTTACACACAGACATTATACATATATATATATATATATATTGTTTGCTCGTTCGCTTTATATGGTGACTTATAACTCGACCAAATCCAGAAAGACTGAAGAAATATTAATATATATATATATGAAAATGAATGTGTCCTTGGATCCAGTGAAAACCCCACTTTTTGGTATATATATATATATATATATATATATATATATATGTGTGTGTGTGTGTGTGTGTGTGTGTGTGTGTGTGTGTGTGCAGTACAAAAAGAGGTCACTAGTTTTACTATAGTAAAACTAGTGTTTTTTCGTTATAACGTTTCGGCCGGTTATAACAAAACGTTATAACGAAACGTTATAACGTTTCGGCCGGTGGGCCTGCCTTCGTCGGAGTGAATGGTTACACATGGCACACAGGGCACATATATAAGCCGCTTCTTTGCGTATCACACGGCTAAGTCATTATCAGTAGTTTAAGAAACAAGATTATATATCACCAAAGGTACGTGGCTATAGTGCATATACAGCTGAAAACGCGTATCATTATACAATAGTGAATTGGCACGTATTAGATACCCTACAACTTGTGTGGAATGAAACAGGTCAGCAAAATAACAGACTGCGCACGCAGTAGCTCACTTGGTCATACGTTCTGCGGGATAATCACAGCCTAAAAACATTCAGTAAGCCTTTAAAAAAGAAAAAGAAGTTTAGAGAGATAAACAAAATCACAAAGCAGGCAGAGCAAAATGAATGCGAGTAAAATGGTGAAGCGGCAAAGGCCACCTACATTATGTAGGTTATATTTGACAATAGGCCAACATCGTGCGAAGAATATACACTTGTCAGTAAAACAAAAAAGCGATTTACTAAGGCAATATGCAAGTAAGCGTACCCGGGCTCTCGTTCATGCCGGCAGATAGTGTTTTGAATTTATGAATTAAAAATGACTCTTTTACTTCGCGTTCATGGTGTTATTTGAAACCCGATTCGAGTATTGTAGCTTTCATGTTACTGAATGAATGACCTGCCTCGGTGACATGCCTTGAAATCGGTAAGTTAGGAAGGGCATGCACATGAGCTTTGTGAATATTGAAACGGTATCGAAAAGCAGTTTCAGTATGACCTATGTATTGTACATGACAGATTGCGCATTCTAGCAAATATACGACATTTGCAGTATCACAAGTAAAACTGCCCTTAATTTTGAACTTGAAGTTCGTCGCAGTACTGGCTGCCAGTGTTGTTGTGGTCATGTGTGCACACACTTTAGAGCGGGGCTTTTTACAAGGACGGCAACCAAGCGTCTGGTCGTTATTGCTCTGTCTGGTTTTAGAGGAAGTTATTAAATCTCGCAAATTTTTGCCTCGTCTGTACACAACACGTAGTGGTTCTGGAACCGCTTTTGCAAGACGTTCGCTGTGCATAAGTATGTTGTGGTGTTTGCGGAAAATAAAGGCGACGTTAGGTGCCGATGCGTTATGGGTTAAAACCAGGTTAACATGTGAATGACTTTTACGATTTTTCTTGGGGATGCAGAGTGCTGTACGGTCTTTTGCGCCGGCACGCCTTACTGCGTCATCGACTAACTTGGGCGGATATTTCTGTTTAAGCAGTGCAGTGCGTAGCTGGTTACAGTTACTATCAAAGTCAGATTGCTCAGAGCAAATTCGCTTAAAGCGTAAGGCCTGGCTGTAAGGTATGCTGGATTTGCAGTGCCTTTTGTGGCTGCTTTGAAAGTGTAAATACCTCTGTCTGTCAGTCGGCTTGCGGTACAGTTTAGTGCTCAATTTTGCATTATCGAGACATAATGTGACATCGAGAAAGTTAATGGTCTCTGGTGAATATGTGTGCGAAAAGAATATGGAAGGATGAGCATTATAAAGTCCGAAATAAAAGACAAAAGTTCCTCCTCTTCATGTGGCCAACTCATGAAAATGTCGTCAATAAATCTTTTATAATAAAAAGGTTTTAGCGAACGACCCGACAAGAATTTGTTCTCAAGGGATCCCATAAATATATTTGCATAGCTTGGCCCGATCTTAGTACCCATAGACGTACGACTTACTTGAACATAATGCACTCCATTGAATTCAAAGTTGTTATACTGAAGAATCATTTCAAGCAGTATAGCAATAGACGAGCTATCAATGGACTTGTCGAGAGCGGAGTGATCGTAAGCCTCAACCACGGACCTTATACCATCCAAGTGCGGTATGCTTTTGTAGAGAGACGCAGCATCGAGAGTGACAAGGAGAGCGTTGTTAGGTACAATAAGGTTGGTAATGTCAGAAAGGAAGTCGTTAGTATCTCGCCGAAATGACTGGATTGTAGGGGGTATCTGGTTTATCAGGCTATCTACGTAACGCGACAAGTTTTCTGTCACGGTACCTATGCCGGAAACAATTGGGCGACCAGGATTGTTGTGTTTATGGATTTCCGGCAACAAATAGAACCTACCAGCTGCCGGACTAAGAGGGATCAGAGAAGCTGCCCTATCATTTAGTTTTTTCTCCTTTATTAGTTTTCTTATTGTGCCATCTAATATCGCATATATATATATATATATATATATATATATATATATATATATATATATATATAATGTGAAGGAAAGAAGTGGATAATTAAGGGCTCGTTTTTTCTGTGTTTTACATAATATTAATGAGATCTAACAGACAATAATGCCAAGGAAAGTATAGGAGAAGATATTAGACCGAATTGTAATGTAAATATGAAGAAAAGTGGGTGAAAAGATAACTTGCCGTGGGCAGGATCCGAACCTGTGACCTTCGAATGATGCGTTCGATGCTGTACCACTTAGCTACCACGACAGCTATCCCCCCAGCCACTTTGTCGGGTTTATATGTGAAATAAACTTGGGAGAGTCAGTCAGCGCCACCAGTAGCCATGGCGGCGAGTGTAGCACACTTTTTCGAGCCTATTTGGCGTCACGTAGCACGTGAACTTATTACGAATGAACAGCTGACCAATAGTCCCTCGTATACAACCTAAAGGCACGAAGTCTGCCAGTACGTGACCCTCGTTAATGAATGAAGGAAAGAAGTGTATACTTAAGGGCTCGTTTTTCTGTGTTTTACACAAGAATAATGAGATCTAACAGACAATAATACCAAAGAAAGTATAGGGAAAGATAATAGGCCGAATCGTAATGTAAATATGAAGAAAAGTGGATGAAAAGATAACTTGCCGTGGGCAGGAAGCTGCCCACGGCAAGTTATCTTTTCACCTACCTGCATATATACCTGCAGCCTCTCCGCCTCCTAGCGGTGCCACGTCGACTCAGTCCTGGTATCAATTCAGAAACCAGTGGCCTAATTCTACCGCAACCAACTGACTACCACCTAGCCGTGGTAAGACTCCCTTTGGGAATGCCTCCGCGCATTTTTTTTGAAGCTTAGAAAAGTAATAGAAAAGCGTATTCGCTGACACCTGCATGCTTCCACCTTAAAGATGTATATTGCTACATCGACAGTGCCTATAGGTTTAAACCTTATTTTAAGGCCTGCCTCACTAGCAATAATCTCTTCAGGTGGGACAACACACTCAAACAAGCTTCCCAGGAGCTCACGCGCATTGTCACTAACCATTGTGAGTCATCCGGAAAATATTGATCGATATGTGGGGCTTAACGTCCCAAAACCACCATATGATTATGAGAGACGCCGTAGTGGAGGGCTCCGGACATTTCGACCTCCTGTGGTTCATTAGCGTGCGTCCAAATTTGAGCACACGGGCCTACAACATTTCCGCCTCCATCGGATAATCCGGAAAAGAGCTATGGAACAAAAAGAACCAACCCTTTGTCACGCGGAATTTCACTGCCAATGAAAGAGCGTTGCTTGATAACTACACGCTAAAAAAGATTCGCAAGCTAAGTGACAAAAAATATAAAAAGTTGATGCGCGATAACATTTGCAAAAGCGTTAGCACTCCTGATGACGCAACGCCTTCAGCGCATTCGTGTTCCGCAGAAGCTGGAAATATTGTAAATATTTCTTGTGCCACGTTATCGGCAGAGGAATTGAGTGTTCTTTCCTGTAGTGTGAACTTTTGTCCTGCCACTGGAGGACACAATGAATTCCAACTAATCAGTGGCTTACACAATTTTGAAAGAAGCATGCGTTTACGCTATACTTTCATAATCAGCCTTCATCTATTAAAACAGCGTTTTTTTCTACTAAGCATTGGACTCCCCTTCCTAAAAGGATAAATGTATCGATATTTACATCAAAGCAGTGCAGCGAGATGTAAACGAAGCATACAAAAAGCAATCATTATTTCACCGCAACCCAAGCGACAAAGAAAAACAAGTGATCCAAACCTTAGCTTGCCGAGGTGACAACGTCATCAAACCGGCTGATAAAGGAGGAGCAGTCGTAATAATGAATAAGGCTGACTACCTTCGTGAGGCCCACAGACAATTAAATGACGACGCATTTTACAGACATTTGAGCTACGACCCGACCAAGGAATTTAAGATCAAAGCAAAAGAAACTATGAAAGGGCTAGTAAGAAAAAATAAAATCACAGAAACTGACCTTAAATCTTTAGTCTCCATGAGTCCGGTAGCTGGTAGATTTTATCTGCTCCCTAAAATTCATAAGCAAAACAATCCTGGCCGGCCAATCATTTCAGGAATAGGAGCCATCACGGAAAGCCAGTCTCGCTATGTAGACAGCTTAATTAGTTAAATTCTTCTTAACTTTTCTTCATATGTCAAGGACACTAACCACTTTCTGCGTGACATGGTAAATATGCGTGTTCCGAGTGATGCTCTTCTGATCCCACTGGATGTGGTGTCACTGTACATAAATATGCCCC